CATATAGACAAAATGATACCTAAGTCCATCGAACATCCATTCAACGCCAAAAGAATTTAATGCTTTCAGATCCTGAGATTCTTGGTACTCAACCAAGCTGTCAAGTATCAGTATCTTTGTAGCTCTATTTGTACACACTTACTATTCTTGTGTAAAAGAATGAAAAGCTAAACATACCCACAAAGAATTCAAACCAATAACTGTTCTCAATAGCATCCTTGAACTGTCTGACCTTCACCTCATCAAGTTCCATTTGGCAAATAGTACTTTTGTCAACATTCTCTGTTGAAGAATAAAACACAAGGAGCATAAGGAAGAATATAGAAGACATACACATGGAAAACAATTACTAGAGGAATTACAGAAATCAAAATAACAATCCAAGAATGAAAAAAGAAAAGTACTTTGGAACTTTATATCAATTTCGCTATCGATCAGTTCATTTCCACCAAGGACCTCACCAAGACCACCCCACTTGTGAGCAGGATTGTTACCCTGATGACAAAACGGAAGGATGTAATAGTTATATGTTTCCTGTGGATTATTGTATGGGCCAACTTTATTCACCCATAGGGTAACTGGATCATCTGGTTGATACTGCAAGGAAAACCAAGACAGGAGTTGATAAGAATTGGCCGTAGCTATTGAAGTAGAGAAACAAAAGAAAAATAATACATAAATCTATCTATATGCAACAACAAAAATCTGAACATCAAACACACATTGAAAGAGAAGTTATAAACTTAAGTTCACATTGAGAAGAAATATGATTTTAATATAGTACATGCACAGGATAGAATGATGTAACATTGATCTCAAGAAGGAGCGGCATTCAGAAAGATACTTTGATAAAGCCTGTGAAGCCTATATCCCAAAAAAGTCAAATACATAAAACTAAAAACTCATTCTAACAGTTGCCGATAGTAAAAATATATGAATGAAGAAAAGGTAGTAAGAACATTTTACATGCAAACTGGTTTCTAGCTGATACATCAAGTCAACAAGGGATAGATATAAGATAGATAAGTTTTGGCACATCTAGTCCATGCTATAATCCTTACACTCATAATTCGATTCAAGACTACAGATCAAATTTCTAGGTCAAAGTAAATGGTTGACAACCAATGGTAAAAAATAATACTGTCATGATCAATCCACCAAAACAGAGAGTTTAAAAGTGCTAAGATCCATATATAAACCTAAGTGAATGAAATTAGGCAAAACATCCCCATGCCAGATTCGTCACATTACCTCGACTCATCTAAATGTGAAGAAGATACAACTCAATCGTGCATACCATTCATTCGACCATTTCATAGATAATTTGCGTTGAGACTTGTATAACAAAGAATACCAAAAATGACGCCTAAATCACCAATAAAACCTAACGTGGAAACGATACAATTCAAGCATGTATATAAATCTTTAAAATAAATAAATAGACATGCACGTAAACAATTTCAATCATTCTTAGACAAATTACATTAAGAAAGAGTCTATTCATCATAGATCCATATCTTACACCTGATAGTCGCAAGATAATAACAGTTTTAATGTTTGAGTTGAGGTAAAGAGGGAAGAATAAGAGAGATTACCTTGTGATCTGACTCGGAACCGAAAGCGGGAGAGAGGAAGACGAAGAGAAGGAATGAAATAAGAGAGGAGGATCGGACGGTGGATGACATGGCCGGCGATGGTCGGATCTAGAGGTCAAGAGACCGATTTCGAAGGACAATGGTGATGAGTTCTCCTTTTTCTTGTTTGTTGTTTTGGATAGACTGCCTTATTTGTATGGGTAAATTACGATTTTAGTACCTAAATTGTCAGTTTTAATCGGTTTTAATACTTAAACTTTCATGTTTTCTAAAATCATACTTATAGTTTAGTTTTTGTTTCATTTTAATACTTCACGTTAAAAACTTTAGTTTTTGTTTTATTTTAGTACCCGTTCAAAATTTAATATTAAGTTTTGAAAAAAAATGAAAGTTTAGGTACTAAACGGGCTAAAACTGATAGTTTAGGTATTAAAAGCGTTAATTTTTTAACAAAATGGTACTAAAATGAAATGAAAACTAAACTTTATGTATGATTTTGGAAAAAATTGAAAGTTTAGGTATAAACAGACCAAAACTGATAGTTTCGGTACTAAATATGTAGTTTAACCTATTTTGTTTATTAAAGGGTAAACTACACTCGATGTCATTTTTGTTTTCAACCAGACTTATTTTAGTTATTAATTAAAGAAAATTAAATTTCAATCGCCTATATTATCTATTTATTTAATGTTTGTCACTAAATCAAACCATTTCTTTCCTCTTTTTAGGGGTTTAAATGAATTAAGCTTGAAAGAATAAGATCATATTTGTGTTCGTTTATTATTTTCGAAGGTGTTTATTTTGTCTGTTTGATGATCACAAATATGTTCATTTAAATATTTGCATACATGTTTGTTAGCATTCGTTTATATGTCGTTTAGGTTCGTGAACATGTTTCGTTTAGTGCTCAATCATTAATTGGTGCTTCAACTCCTCAAGCTTCACAATTTAAACTCCAAATTTTACCATGGTTTCAATTTAGTCTGTACTTTCACCTTATAAACGAGTTTGTTCATGAACATAAACGAACCAAACACACCTATGTTCATGTTCGTACATTTATTAAATGGACATAAAAATTATGTTCATATTTATTTATTTAAATTAATAAACAAACATTATACAAATAGTTCACCAAATGTTGTGTTCATTTACACCCCTACTTCTTCCTCTCCACTTTTCTTCACTCTTTTTATTTTCTCTTAAAGCAAAATAGAGAACTCTACAAACAAATAACCGTTCTATATAATAACTGGAGACCAAAATAAAACAGATTAAAAGAAAAAGTGACATTTGATGTAATTTACCTTTATTATTTATTATTCTTATTTTATTTTGGTTAAATTATGCATTTAACACTTAAACTATCAGTTTTGATCCATTTTAGCACCTAAACTTTCAATTTTTTTCAAAATCATACATAACGTTTAGTTTTTATTTCATTTTAATATCCGTTTAAAACTTAACGTTAAATTTTTAAAAAATTGAAAGTTTAGGTACTAAAATGGACAAAAATGATAGTTTATGTACTAAACGTGTTAATTTTTTAACAGGGTTACTAAAATGAAACAAAATATAAATGTTATGAATGATTTTGAAAAAAATTGAAAATTTAGATACTTAAATAGATTAAAACTGATAGTTTAGATATTGAACGCATAGTTTACTCTTTTCTTTTTACATGAGCCGACTCTTTTCTTCTCTTCTAATTTCTAGAAGATCGGTGTTGACTTTTTAACACGTTGTGTTTGTTAAAAGGATTAAATATTCGGTTAGCTTCTGAAATTATATACTTCTCTCAATTGAGTACTTAAATACTTTTGCTTTAATTATTAATATGTAATCTATTAATGATTATTTCATATCATGTATAGAAAAAATCTATTATAAAAGCTATTTTTCTAACACATTTTATTTCATTTATAACATTAAAATTAAATTTTATGATTTTATTTAATAAATTTAATATTTACATTAGCACCCAAACTATTTTCTCGTTAAATATCTTTGTTGAAGTATACAAATTAATAGATTAAATATATATTTAAACCGAAGAGTTCTGGGATGCGGCAGCCTATTACAAAGCTAAGGAAAGACGTTAATTAAAATGTTATAAACAACATAATATTTTAGATTGTGCACAACATGAAAAATCATATTTTTTAACATTTTCGGTTGCTACTTAAAATATGTTTGCAACCTTAAAATGCATGAAAAATTAATATTTTAGTTACGCACAACCTACAATACTATGTTGTTTTATAATATTTTAGGTCGCGCCTTATATTAGCCTTATAACAAGAGATTATACAGTGAAATTCGCCATCCAAACCCAATTAAAATTTGGGATGAGTATAATCAAAAGATGAGATTAACTATTTATTTTTTTTCTAGTGAATATATTCTCATTTTTTATTATTAATCTTAGCCTTTTATTTTCTCTCATCCAACGATTTTAAAAATGTGATATATATATATATGATCCACTTAAACAATGTAATTTTTTTTCATTTTACACAGATTTACGACCGTTGGATGAGTGAAAATATGTGATTGAGATCGACTTTTTTTTAAGTGAATATCTTCTTATTTCCTACCGTTAGTTTCAATCATTTATTTTCACCAACCCAACGGTCATAAATTTATATAAAACTAAAAAAATTATATTATATAAATCAATATATATATATATATTAAAATTTTTATCTTAAAAATCAAATCAAATTTAAGATATAATGAACCTTAAAATTATATCAAATCCAGTGAAGGGTATAATAGTTGGGTCTCTCTTTCTTGAATCCAAAATAAATAAATAAAAATAGGAAACTACAAATTTAATACCCAAACTATCAATTTTGATCCGTTTTAGTACCTAAACTTTCAACTTTTTTAAAATTATACATAACGTTTAATTTTTGTTTCATTTTAGTACTAATGTTTGAAATTTAACGTTAAGATTTTTTTTTAAAAAAAAGTAAAAATTTAGATACTAAAATGGACCAAAACTGTAATCGAGATCCTAAACACATTAGTTTTAAAAAAGTGAAAATTAAGTACTAAAATTGATCAAATACTGAGTAAGTTAAGATTTTAACGGTGAGATACTAAAATGAAACAAAAACTAAACGTTAAGTATGATTTTTTTTTAAAATTAAAAGTTTAGGTACTAAAATGAATTAAAACTGATAGTTTAGATACTAGATGCGTAATTTCCCCTAAACAATAATAGATGAATTGTTTTGATACAATCCAAAATACCTAAACTACCCATATTCACATACTCTTAAATTGAAAAATAACACATTTAAATGTATTTGAAATCACATACTCTTAAATATTACAATAACAATAGCAACCGAGCGAAACAAACATTAATTATGATCCTTATTCAAAAAAAAAGTATACTTGAGGTATAGCAAGAGTCATTTTCCCTTTATTAAGTGTTTTTCCGAAAGAACAAAATTGGAGAACAATCTTTACTTTTGAAAGGAAAAAATGTTACTTTTCGTCCTATCAGTCTACACTAAATAAATATAATAATTTAGTGATGATTGGAAGGAGTTTTTACCATATAGTAAGGAGCTCTGGTCTCTATCTAATCCAAATGTTTCACAACTCCGCCTTCGATTCTCGATCCTCCGATGATCGGTCGTTAGAAGAAGTTTCGGATGATGGTGGCGGTGGTGGTGGTGGGGCGTCGGGATTTTCCAATTCATCACCTAATATTTTGGCAGTGAATTTTCTAGCCTCAAAATCAAGATCTGTCCACTCGGAAACTATTCTTCTAGCACCCTGAGACGAGAAAGTGGTATGAAGATGATAGGAGTCGATGGCGCGCCGATGTAAAATAATGTACGATTACGGATTACCTGAAGTTTTGGTTCTTTTGTCATCGGATTGTTGCAGAGATCTATGGTTTTAGCCTTGGATTTCGTGGCATTACCGCACCATGATTCACACCACAGCCATTCTTGGGGTAATGAAAAGATCGGTACTTTATGCTGAGCATAGTTTGGAAGATCCTGAAATATAACGATCGGTTATTTTAATATCTTATACGACCACCGTATGCTAAGCGAAAACAGTTGGTGATGACGTAATGAATTCAACTTGCCTGATCCAGATTGGCTAGACTGTTCGGATCTTTGCTAAGACTTTCATAGAAGACTCTTAAATTATCACCTGCTGCTGTCTCCCGGAACTTCACCAAGTCGACCACGTACAGTGCGCTGTAGAAGCACGATATGTTAAGCCTATGTCATGTCAAGAAGAAACGCAGTTTTCTGTTATACAATTAGATAGTAATCGCGAACCTAATATGGTATGGTCTGCCCCGCAAATGCTCTCTCCAGAATCCCTGTACAGGAAAGAGGAATGAGGAGGCAAAACTAGAATAAACAGTTGTATTATAGTTATAGTTTCCAGGTTTTAAAAGAACCGAAACAGAAACCAAGGAAAAAGTCAATTTTGCAGATGGTATGGTAGCACATTACTTGTCTCCAAAACCGATATCCATCCATGTCCTTATTGTTATCGCAAAAAGGAGTATATGCAAGAGGTCTTCCCTTTATATCCATGTCATAGAGGTCTCCTATATCCGCCCTCACAACTTGATCGGCGTCAACAAATATAACCTGCACATGCATTATCATCCATGAAATTGGCAACAAAAGCGGTAGAGAGAACAGATGTCTAAGAAGAGCCGGAAAAGGACAAAAAAGGAGGGGGGAAACCTTTTCCAATGAAATGGGAAATATAACATCGAGGAACAAAATCTTGTATGCCCAGATAATTCGCTGCTTTTCTGTCTGCTTATGCAGCCATGTAGGCCATTTGTAGGTAATTAGTTCGTAGTCAAAGCCGTATTCCCGGGACATATGCGGAATCACATCCTGCATAAACCGAAAGTATATAAGCATTAGACATATACTTTTCAAATGATACATGAACAGAAGGAAAGAAGTGGTAGACAAAGATGGAAAGAATGCCAAAAGGTTGCATACGACCTTTTTTTATAAGAATGGGAGGCCTCATTAAAAAACCCCTTCATAACAGTCAAAATACAAGAATGTATCTCGACGGACATTGGAAGGAGGAAAAGAGTGCCTCAAAATTTTATTACCAAACAAAAACCACAATTACAACGCCCTCGGTCCATAGAACATCAACAAAAATACAGCCTTCTACAAAAATTAAAAATACCATTCCTATAGGACTCAGCACAAAACCTCCCACTTGAAACCAAAAATACGACCTTGAACTGAGGAGACAAGTAGTTCTTTATAAACCAGAACTTCACCGGACGATTGGTATTCTTCAGTACACTTAAAATCATAATTTTAAGGAAGCGTTCATATCTGCAAAAAAGATGATCGAGAATTAGTAAAGTGAACGTACCAAAAATGTTTGTCATTTCACAGGCAGATCATCAATTTTTTTGCAAACAATAGCATTTACTAAACAATAATTTCCTCAACTTCATCGTCACGATAATTGGTTAAAGCTAGAAAAGAGACAAAAAAGTAAGCAAGAAGACAAAAGTGAGTTATAATAGGAGTGTGGCATATTGAAACTACAATCTGGAAGAGAATTAAAGCAGTTGAGCCTGAGAAAGCAAATGGCCATAGATCAATATATGAACTGATACAGAAGCAGAAAATTGGTAAGTGAATTACACAGTATGACCGTTTTAAAATTATCTATTCATATAAACATGTAAATGCCGATAACTCTACAAATCAAAGCATGGACTTGAACACTTACAAATGCCCTGAAGCAATTGAAAAGATGTTGATTGTTTTTCCACGTCGACCACCCTTCCCATGATCCTGTGGAACATGAATAAGTGATTCCAGCACTTTGAGGATGAAATTAAATATAAATACCAAACAATAAAACATACACAGATGTGCCAGCATGAATCATACCATGAGGAGAAAGAAGGATGAAAGATCTTAGAAAATAAAACTGAGAGCCACTCACTGAACGGCGATTATAACAAACATATTTACGTACTACTACTATATTTACAGTTTTGATCTGCTTATCATATTATTAGACCTAAGTGATGGGTTTGATTTGGGGTTGCTAGTGCTAAGGTGAGGACAAGATAATGTGGTCCGTATCACAGCTGCACCCAGAAACTAATATCAGCAGAAAACAAAACTACGCAGCTTATATGATCCCTCTCACAACTACAACTGTAGACTTATTTTGACCATGGTTTAACGGCTAATAATTCTTTCCTTTTCTTATATCTTTCTTCTTATTCTTATACCTTCACATAGGTTCATATTCATATCCATTTCTTGCAACAATTAATCCTAAATAAAGGTGAAGTATTACACAGCACAAAAAGAACATATAGATTTATGCGGCATGTGCCGGGGGGGGGGGGAGCTCACCACCGAACTGTCATGACTCCTTTTTGATTTCTCATTGCCACCAATAAAACCAGAAGCCCATTTGAGAATGTTTGAATTCCAGCCATTATGTCCCTGCTAGGCATCCAAAAAGACTCCTCAGTCATCCATGAGCGCAAAAATGAAGAGTGCAAATTACATTTCAAACAAAAAGAAAAAGCCCACCTTTTCTTTTCCACGGCTGTCATCATCAGATGAAATAAGCAATTTTTCTTGCTCTTTTCCCTTCTTCTTCACTACTTCAAGACGAACAACTTTACCCCTCAAATCATCTATAGTAATTCGTTTTGAAAAAGATATCTCTTGGTTTCCATTATCGCCACCATCTCTGAAAAGATACAACTCAGAACTTCTGCCTGGAGCAAGTTGCAGGTACCAAACTCCAGGAGATACTTTCATCTGCCAATAACCCAAGTTGGCCATCACAATAGTATCAACCAAATGAGGAGAATTCTTTGTTCCAAGAATTAGTTGAAGACCTCTGGGAGGGTCACGATCCTTCTCAGCACAATGACCTAAATTACACAAAAAAGTCAGAAAACGCAGAGTACCTCACTACTACAGTTAAGCTCATAAATTTTACATTATTTCCAAACAAAAACAAACTCACCGGTCAGAACCAGAGCTTCAAGTTCAAAAACTGCTTGCAATGTCCTTGTGTCTCCCAGGTTCTCAAGCAAAATATTGTCCAGGTCATGACTAAGGTATTTATATCCACGGAGAGAGAGAGAGATTAGTCAATACAGTAAGGTACTTAATGTTGCAATCCTCCAACATTTTGTAAGGAAGAAATGGTAAGGCAATAGACAAAGAAAGAAATCATGATGTTAATAATTAGGAAGAAGCATACACAGCAATGATGGGCTCAACAAGCCAAGGCTCGGGAACATCCAGGTTCATGGTAAGTGTTTTGGACAATGGCATATTTGCAAAAAAGGCTTTTGGTCCATTTACTGTATAATCAGTACTGCTAAAATCTTCCTGCAAGGTACTAACATAGCTAAGAAACCATTCTTGAGTGCTCAAATTTGAGTGGTTTCTGAAGTGAGATGCATACCATGGTTGAGATCACATATCTGTAATAGTTCTTCAATGGAAGATCAACAAGGGAACTCTGCAACAAAAGTAATTGCTTATAATATTTTCCTACAAATTTTGTAATTAAATGACTTCAAGCAAGGAAAAAAATGAAAGAAAAGTGATCATGCAGCGTGCTTTAATAAAAAACTTAATCAAAGAATGCAGTAACCTCATCATACAGACTGAAAATTTCAAGGTAATATACCCAAATCAAGTGATGTTTACTGATATAGTCAGAACATTCTCACAACAATGAAATTAATCATGGGACATAATTTGCCATTGCAAAATACTCTCAGAACTCTTTGCTTCTATCCCTTATTATTCTTTTCAATATTTCTGTCATGGAATGACGGTTCCCCATCCTCTACATAAACTGAGTCCAAGGTCCTATGCTATTTAGCCCTAGGTTCCATCCCCCATACTAATTTGAAAGAAGGATGAAAATCATAACAGAATACTCCTCCCTTGTGAGTATTGGCATGGAAAGATCAACAAAAGCTACTGGTGTTGTGGGTTCCACACGCTAGTCAGATGGTCATCGGACTTCAAGGGTTCACTGATGATCGTGTTCCAAGTCTCTTGGAGGTGGCGATTTCAAAGAAAAACTGAGTAAGGGGTGAGTACCAAATCTATTTTTATAGGATTTGGGAGAAAAATCTAAAAAATGGAAAAAACAAGAATTCAACCCTTAAATATGGGTTTGTGGCTCTTATTCCATGTTAATTTGAGAGGACGGCGAAAATTATAAGAGAATTATTCTCATTTGTGTGTATTAGCTTTGAACTATGAATGGATATTTATACAAGAATTGAGGGGGAAAACTATCTAGGAAAATAATCTTTTTTTCAGCCTCGTTAGTCATTACAAGATAATTACACCCAAATTTAGCCTAAAAGTCAATCAACATAATCACTAAATTTCAGATTTTAATTTGGTCAATACCGGATTAGACTCTACGCACAAGCACCGCAAACATAACCAATACCGCAAATATTGACTCACCACGAGAGTTAGTAAAATACGATTTAAAAGGAATGCTTTTGTTTTTATGTGCCCTTCTAGAATAATATTTCTATTCAAGAACACAAGATAGAAAAAAATAATTGAGGTTAAAAACATAACTCACCATGGGATTTAATAAAATGCGCATGCTTGGATGGACATACTTAGCCAGCACACGAAGAAGTGATGATAGTTTTTGTCCTGATGGACTTAGGGGGATCAACAACTGCATCAATATGAATGCTAGAGTTCTCATTGTTAAGAACAACAGCACTGCACAGAACATTTCACAAAGAAAAAAAGGTACGAGTTAGACATTTGAAGACAAGTCAAAGAAGTTAGCAGCAAAAACACAGAACAAAACAGACACAATTAAATCAACAACAAACATGGGTAATTGTAGGATATAGCCGTCTACTTTGTATTTAGTATTTTACTTTGTATTAAACTTGTATTTTAGATTTACCAAAGTAAAAGATAAGATAGCTATCTGTTTAGATAAGAAACTAAACACCTAGCAGGACTCTAGTAGGACTCCACTGTTGTAAGTAACTCAGCCTATTTTAATAGGCCAGATTTATTTGTTTATTCGAATAACAGAGGAATAGCGGAGAAAAACAACTCTCTTCCAGTAAACTCTCTCCTCTTTTCTCTATTTTTTTCAGTAAGTGCAGGGTAATCAATAAATATGGAATTTAATGGGATAAATGAAATTTAAACATATAAAAAAAAGTAGTATGCAAGATGTAGCTTTAAGAACATAAGATGAGGGTTTCAAAAAGAATTAAATCTTATTATATGGTTACATAAGAGGATCTTTTTGTATCGAAACATAACGGAAATATGGGCATTTTTCATGTAGAAGCTCAAAGTGACTAAAACAGGATTACATCAAAACATTATGTAAGGATTAAAAGGAAGAAACTCATTGTTAAAAGATGAAATGCATGGTGAGGAGGTAATACAAGCTACACCGTCCTTTTGCTTGATAACTTTTTTCCTGCATATCTTTCCTCAAAATTGATTGGGTTGATCACAATTCGCTTCAGTTGACAAATAATGAATAATTACACAGAAATAAAGGCATGCTAAATCTAAGAGTGTGGTGGACTAGAGATCGGTAGGAAAAACAAATAATCATGGAATTGTAGATGAAACTTTTGAAGAAATGCTATGGCCATCATGCTTTTCTTTTGTAAATCCCACCCCAGTCATATAGCACAAAACTATGGAGATTTATCAAAAGGAACTACATTATTAAATGATATAGGAAAATAGATAACTATCAAAAGGAGAATCAGAAGACATGAAATGCAACATGATTTTAAGGAGAACATAATTCTGCCAAGAATAAAAGGAAAGAAAAGAAGAGAACCTCATAGGAAACAAAATACTTTAGAAGTACCTACCTATATTGTGCATTCAAAATTTCAAAGCGTGCACTTTCAGTACTTCGCTCCCTTGTAGCCATTGAAGATGTCACGAACATGATAATATCACTAACATATTTACTGAAATTATGAATAAAATCAGAACTCGGTATGTCTAGCCAAAAAGATGAAATGTTGAAAAGTACATCACAGTATTATATCTGCCATAAATAACGAAAATCAGGTTGCCATTCAAACTTGAAAAGGTAACTGCCAATCAGAAGTATCTAAATCAGCACAATCAGTGGCTGGTGCAAGTTATAGAGCCAAGAAAACCACACGCAAAGGGAAAGATACATAGTAATCTTGATTTAAAAAGAATTCCCAAATACCCATATGAGTGTACCCAATTTATACTACTGCATTGAACGGGGGAAGCATGTAGATTACATGAAGAAGATAACTGCTAGAGAAAGCAGAAAACTGACAGACCTTGTTAGCATGTCAGGGTCAATTCCATGCCAATTAACTTCCTCAACAATCTCTGCAATGTGTTTTATTCTATGCTTAAACTCAACTGACTCCAGAAGATGCAGATCATCACCCAGAAATATACCAGCATCAAGAGAAGTAACCTGTCAAATAGAAAAATAAGAACGCTATAACTACATCAGTTCCATAAGCATCTAAAAAAACAAGCATTGGCAGTTGGAACAGAAAACAAGGAATCGGTCAAACAATAATCCTATAAATTTATGACACATTTAAGAGAGAGAGAAGACAAACCCTTCCATTGGTAATGACTGCATTAACACCAGATGCTATCCCGAATTGCATATACAAAAATTGTGCCACCTGGATAAATGGCAATATAACATATTAATGTCAATAAGAGAATTAGAAACAAAAATCAACATTAATCCAGACAACACCACTAACAACCCTTACAAGAGAAACTCGGACTGGAACAGGATTAAAATGTGTAAAACCAGAAAATAAAAGCACCCATTGAGAACTTGAACATCCTATAAAAGAAAAAGAAAAGTCAACTAATATTACCTTATACAGATGTTCTCTCAAATTCAGATTGGAAGCTTCAGATAGAGAGGATTTATATGCCTTAGATGACAGTTCATTTGCCTCAGCAAGTTCATAGAACTTAGTAACGAATGCTTGAAAGCTTTCAGCTGCAGCAGGAGATCTAAGAACGTAATTATGCTCATAAAATGAGCATACTTGATCTAGAAACTCCAATGCCTTCTTCTTATGACTGCAAAAGCAGCAATAATGCAAGTAATATCAGATCAGAGTTGACAGTCTAAAGCAAATTTACAAGAAACAAACGCATATAAAAACATTTAGACTTAGGAAACCTATATGAGGCTGCAGTGATCTCAAAGGTCTTCACAAGTAGAATGCTAGACAAATCAGCATCCTGACTAGCAGTAAATAGAACACCAACACGAGCATTTTTGGACCCTTGAATCTGGAAATAGTGCAAGAATTAGTAGGCCATCCATGATGATGGTGATGACAACAATAACACCAATAAGAGAAGAATAATCAAACAGAAGGCATGATAAAAAATACCAGATAACGGATTCCTTCACGAAGTAACTTTATCCCTTTTTTTGATGTGACATCAAGAGCAAGAAGATGAGTTACAGGCTTCACATTATCTACAGCTGGCATTGATCAAGTCATTAAACATGTTAGAATGCAAATATCTAGAGAAAATAGTAAAATGAAATTAATAACAAACATAACGCCTGCTTACTTTCAGGAGAATGTAAGTAATTAAGTTCATTCAGCACAGATTCCCCTCCAAGGATTGATGAATCTAGAGACACAAACCTTGGTTTGACATTGCCACCAACAATAATCTACTACATCCAACCAAATATCAAGTTATGACAAGCATATCATAGTAATAGATTGCTAACATTTTGCAAAAATAGCTAATCAGCACTTTACCTGGGGATTATAGCGACTGACACCATTTTCAGATAGGAATTTGTCCAGCACGTCAGTGTGAGAGGTTATTTGCCCATAGTAAACTTGTTCTTGAATTCTGGGAAGCTCATCATTCATGGCATTTATAAGAGCTTCCTGCAAAATAAACACAAATGTCGATAATTGGAAAGAGGAACATAAAAAAGCAAAAGAGGATACTTATAAACGATTAAGTACTACATATAAATCATTGAAGGAACTCAATACTTGGATGTAATCTTCAAAATCTAAATGCAAAAGAAACTAGCATGCCATTATAATTTCCACAAGGAAAAACACATTCAGGAGGAAAAAAAACTACAGCCTGGTAAAACAGATTCATTAAACATAGGTGCCAATTAATAATTTTTCCAAAAAGGTAATAAACTCAAACACATAAAGGTACACACTAAATAGTCAAAACCCTGCAAGTTAGGAAAGAGATGTTAGCACTGAATAATGAGGAATATAGATACCTCACTAGAATCGAAACAAGACCATTCATCAGGAGGCAGCACTGCAGCTTGCTGATACCCAGCTTAAAAACAAACAAGGAGCTCTCTTGAGACAATTCCTTGTAAGTCTGTCCCTTTTCCAGCTTTAACAGTATTTCTTGTGGTGGAGATTTAACTTTCGGCCTACAGGAACAGCACATTGATTTACAAAGCAAATCTAAATATTTGAAGATTACTGGAGCATCAAATAAGGAAAACACGATCAGCATGCATAAGTAGCATAAGTTAACATAATACTTCAAAACTTACAATAATGTTTCCACAAATGCCTCTTCAATATGGTGCATTTCAAGAGCCTCATCTGTAGAGCCGCTGGATTCTGTTTGTAGTCTATTTATCTATTACAAGTACGTAAAAATCTTAGTCAAAACTGTTAAAATGCACCATGTCAATAAATAGTGATACAGCAGGCTCAGCTACAGGAATAAACGAATCATGCAAGGAGTGTCATACAACCATTATAGTTCTCAAAATCATCCATAGTTTTAACTTTCTCCTTCCTGGTAGAAAAGCTAGCAATCTCAGCCTAGTATAGAGTAGGCTTCAGTCTTCCGCTCACTCTCCCAACCTCCCCCAACTTTCATGAAATTATTCCCCACTTACAGGATTGGTTTATGCGTACTAAGTACAGAAACAAGTTATTTCCTATTCCAAGGCATAACATGGCATTTTGTAGAGATGATAAAACTAACAATAAGAATAGCAACATAAAATGATCACGTCAAATACATGTTATCTGCCAAAAAATCTGCAAATAGACACATTAATTTAAAATTTCACATACGAAAAGTCTACTCATAAATCCTCTCATCTTTTGCAATATGCATGCCAAAATCTTATATATGCACATTTAAAGATGAGTATATTGATAGCTGAAAGAGAAAAAGATGTTTTTTATAGGATGAAAACAAGCACAATAACAAGTTTAAGTGAGCCAAGGGCATATGATTTGACTTCAAATATCTCTTTCTTCCAAGCATATAACCTTTCAGAAAATATTGAAGATAAACAACACAGAAACACTGTAATGAAGTCAATAACAAGAAACTAAAGGGAATATAGTATACATCAAATCGTCAGTAGAAGGTACAAGCATAAAAAAGGTGGAATGAATATCAAACCCTTACATTGCTCAAAAATTGGAAAGCTGTTTGAGCCCCGTGGTTTTCCTTGATATAAATAAAAAGTCGTATAATCTGCAAAGAAATTACAGTTGACCATGCTTATAAGAACCATACTTCGCAAAACAGAAACCTCAATGATACTTGACAACAGAATGAAGTATTGAAATAACTGAAGAGAAACCATGGCTAGGCATAGATATTATCGAATTAAACAAAAGGTAAAACAGAAAGCATTTTGACGAAGTTAAGCAACTACCAAACAGGATTTATCATCCTCGATTTCACTGTCACGCTCAAAATCAGATGAATGAAGTTCACCACCACTCCTTTCAATTTTTTTGATCAATTCTGTAGAATACAGTATTATGCCAAATCTCATCGGGAAACTATTCTCATAGAAAGATGTAATCATGTCGATAGACTGCAAGATACCAGTTGAAAACTATGGTGAGAAAACTTATGTGACCAAGATATTTCAATATGTGTGTATGTGTGTGTGTGTGTGTTAGAGAGAGAGAGAGATCAAACATCCAGAAGGCAGATGAAAACATGCCTGAAGACCAGAAACTGTTGCTGGATCAAGAACGTATACTGCATGGAACAGATTCTTACGGATATAACGCAACTGACCGGGAAAGACAGGCATTAAGATCTGCAGAAAAATGTCATCAGAAGACATGCTTTCTGGCAATCATTAACAGAAGCTCACACATGTACAATTATCATACTATTTAAGAGAGATTTTAGGATAAACTAACATACATCATTTATATTACTCCTCCAACGCCTGTACATGGCATCCTCCTCCAAGTTATTCAGATAATGAACATGGGAAGAACGAAAGTCAACTCGGAATGAATCTGACTCAGGAGGAGTCACAGTTGATAGAAGTTTCCGTACTGTGCTACCAGGGAGCTGAAAATAATAGAATCCATAAGTTAATTGTATATAGAGGCTGATGAATATGAGATGTATGCCAAAATGACCTCATAAGAAGCCCTTGTTTAATGGAAGGTTTTCTAAAAACTAGAAAGAAAGAAATTCATCAAATATATACAATTATATGCTAATTTGGTCAGAAATAAGCATGAGACCAATGGTAAGCAATGACAGAATCAATTTGATTTTAATTGTTGACAATAAATTAAATGCATCAGACTGAACAGACTCATAATGAGTAAATTAGCGCAACAAATGGCTCTTATATATTACATACACATACATTCCTCATATGAAATTAATTATCCAAATCCTGGTTGAAAGAAACATTAGATATTAATTGTTTATTTTACTGGAAGACACAAAACACACATCTAACATACTGCTTCGGTATTTACACTACCATCCTCTGTTCCCAAATGGTGCATTTTCAAACTTATTTGAACAAGGCAGAAAATGATCATATTTGTTCAATTAAAGAAAGGAGGAGAATAAAAAGGACAAAAACTGTTTCTAGTTTAGACATTCCATTGATGAAGTTATATATTCTGAGATAAATGGATATGATATAAAGGAACACTCTTTTAGTGGATTTAACTGATATGTCAAACAAAATGAAACCTAGAATAACTCACCTTCAACTTTGAAAACTGATCGGCCAAGGATAGCTCCTGATGGACCAGGTCAATCAATCTATAAAAAGTTAATCCAAAAGCATAATATTAGAGATTCAGAATTGATACTACATCAATCAAGTTGCATAAAGGCATTCAAGTAATAATAAATAAAGAGCTAATAAAAAAATTTGAAAGGGTGAAAAGCATTAATATAAAAACAAATTGCCACAGAACTGTCTGTAAGAAACTCCAGAGTGATATTCCTGGATAACATTAAAACACTCAATAAAATTGCTTTCAAAGAATATATTGCAATATCAAACATCAGGTTTTCATAAAAAAATCCTAATGAAGCTGCAAAAATTCTTTTTACTTCCAAGGAAGTCTTCTTTAAATTAACTGACATTTCATGATAGGGTTCTGAGACAGAATTCAAAATCCTGCACTCAGAATAATAGCACTCAATAATTTCTTTCAATCCTGGAAGTATAAAATTTACATGATAAACTTCAGTTTGTTTATTTTAAATATTAAGAAATAAGTTTGGGTTAAAACTGCTTGGAGACAATTACCAAAATCTTCAAGTATAGACGGACCAAATCACCAAATGTAAATATTTAAAAATTTCGTGAATTCTCAACACTCGGCAGATAAAATTTTCAGTGAAGAGCAAAAGAAATAGGGTGAAAGAGCATTACAGATAAAGGTCAATATCTTCGATATTGATTAAAGCACCATTGAGAGCCATCAGGGACTTGCCAGGAGGGATCATTCTCTGGTTTGCAAGTATCTCTTCTTTAATTGAATCATTGAGCTGAAAAATGCATGAATTTGTATAAACTGATTAGAAAACACAATTGGGAACCTTATTGTTGGAGTCTATATTATAAATACTATAGCTGCTAAAACATTGAGAGAGTCACCAAGAAGTTACCTTCGTTCGAGATAAAGAAGACACTACACTAGGAAAATTTTGGTTGATTTCTTGCATCGACTGCAAAGGATCAGAGGCTTGTACTATTCTCTGTGCAGTTTGATGTCCTAAATCTGTTCGAAGGGGAAATTTTTGGCAATTTGAAACAAGACGTTCATAACTAGAAAGAAAAAGAAAACCTTAACTAAACAGTACCTTTCAGCTCCCAAACATCAAGTGTGTCTGATATTGTTGATGACAAAAGATAATCCCTGAATGCCATTATCTCTGATGTAAGGTCAGGTTTGCGTTCCTGAAAAGGAGATGAAAGAAAATATTAACTTCAGGATGACATGGTTCACATTTAACAGTTAGAAAATCATTATGACTAGTGTTGACACCTCTCCAAAGTCCAAAGTGGAAGGTTTAGTGCTTTAAGTTTATTCATATATGTCGATGTAACTAATGTTCCTTGAAACAGTTGTAACTTCTATGGGAAGAAAATAAGGGGGGGAAAAGGTAAGGTGAATTATAGCGAACCAGAATTTTTGAAAATATAAACCCTCTAACTTCTTGGCTAAGATCTTCAGTATGAGGATCTTCTAGCGTTACACCTGCAATTCAAACCTCAAGTCCTTAGATACCTCAACTTTTTTCTAAAATAAAACTTCCATGACTGCAAACAAGATACATTCTAAAATAAAACTTCCATGAATACGTAACTTTTTTCAAGATATTCATATTTGTAATAGAACACCATAGGCATTCCCAATAAGTTGTACTACAATTGAGAACGATAAAGAAGAATGAAATGTATTCATAAGGAGCAAAACCTCAAAAAAGAAATAATAGCACTAAAAAATTAAAGGACTAATCAAGGTTGAAAGTTTCCAAAAGCCATAGAGCAAACAAGTTAGAACACCAAGACAAAAGTGTCTGCATTAGAGAGAACAGTATGATTAAAGAAGAGCCATATAAAGAAACCAAAAACATCAACCACAAAAATACTGCTACATCTGCCAAGGAAATATCACAACTGAATTCAAATGCAAAGATCCATAATGGCAATTGAAAGAAAGCAATAGAATATAAACACATAATACATAGAAGCCTTGGAAAAAGTAAAAAAAAAATACATGGTAAAATAAACCTATTGGCCAAATTGATACAAAGGTCAAGAAAAGGGGTGGCTTTTGAATTTGCAACTGCTCCACCAAGAGTGCTAACCTTTCTTTACAGTACTGTCATCCATGGCCTTATACTCCATATTCTTCAAAGCAAGCTCAACACCATACCCGCCCAAATTTAAGGAATCCATTGCACCAACAGCCCCACATGGACCAACTTTCCCTTCACAACCGTAAGGTAATACTGGTCTGACAACATACTTAACTTTTCCCTGGACATAAAATAAGAAGTAAATCAAAAAATTTATAACAGAAATTGCATCAAAGAAAGTGATATAATAATCCTTAAAAACAGATGAAAGGAAGCATCGTACGGGAACGGAACTTTATGCAAATAGTATTCTGACAGACCAGTAAACCAAGCATATAAATGAATCAATTAGATAATATTGAGTCAGCTCAAAACCAATGATGAAGGCTCCCAATACGGACCAGATGGATCTCAAATAAGTCATTAATTCAAAATTTGATTACAATAGGTTCTTTACTTCATCTGATCCTTGCTTATTAATTATTGTTCATAAAGGAAAAAAGGACAGGAATTATCATTATAGCAAAATTCAGATATGTTATTTGGTTTTATGAGTTAAGAAAAATATAAAGTAAAGAATGAGATGGCAACAAATTCAACTGCACCAAACAGACCTCTTTGGCAGCTTGAACTAGAGTAAGATGGAACTCCCTAAAACATCCTGTTCCAAGAGCACCATACAGAATAGCAACAGGGCTCATAAGGTTTGAATCAAAATGAACGTGATCAAATTCATATAATTCAGGCTGCTGAAAGGAGTCTCCACTGCTGACAACCAAAAAATGAAAGTAACAAGTGTTCAATCATAAGTAATTTTTCGCCATTTCCAACTTAAAAGATGTTATTTAAAAATAAAACACATACATATAGAGAAACATTACATTTCATTAGGTCCCTGAAGCCAAGACTGCAGTTCTGCAACATCAAAGAACAATTCCTCACCAATGTCCACCCAACAACATCTTCCGCCAGGACTTTTCGGGTTTGCGCCAACAAGAAAGGGGTCCAACTTTTTAGTTCCCGCCGCTTCACTAGCATAAACCCCACTCACATTATGTGAATAACCATCGTCAGACAGCGGAAAAGAAGAAAGAGACTCCTCCGCTAGTTGCCGGTAAAGCACCAATCGAGGGGATGCCGATCTCAGAGTCAAGGAGAATTCAAATAACGATGCCAATGATTCACTTAAAACAGAGCTGCCATGTTTCAAAATCTTAACAAGGCAATCTTTAGCCGAATGAGAATCACCCTCAGTTTTCGCAACACGTAGCCAGCCATCAATGAACTCCCAAAAAAGATTTTTCGACTCTTTAGACAGTAATTCACTGCAACAATCAGAAAAGCATAAAAAATACAGATGCAGAATTGCTTAAGGAAACTAAATTAACACTAAAGAATACATCCTTTTACCCCAAGAGAGCAACTTTAATACGAATACGAACAAATAAACAAATCCCACAACAATAGAATCATAAACAGAACAAACCCAAAATTAAAGCTATAATAATAAGAAGAAAGGGAACCGACCCGGCTTCCAAGAGCAATGGAGTACCCGACCATTTAGCCCGAATCGCAACCTGAACGTTCTTCGGCCTTCGATTTTGAGCTCCAACGAAAGCGAAACCACAAATCAACAAACAAGCGAGGATGAACAGAATGCGAAAGCGAGATCTGAAAAGGGCATCCATCTGGGCAAACCGAAACTATGTTTTCCCAATCGATTTTCTATATAATTTCAAATGGGATTACATCCGACATTGATGAGTCACTAAGAGAGATCGGGCTTTGAGGAGTAATAAGTTAAAGAGAGACGACTGCTAGCGAAGACTTCTGGGAATTTTTTTCTTGGAACAAACTTCTGGGAAATTAAATACCAAAAGGTATTATTAGCGGCTTTATGTATTTGCATGAAAATATCAAAGGAATTTTAGGAAAGGAAATAATTTCGCATAATAAAAGAATAATTGTTTAAATTATATTTAAAATTAATTTTTTGTTTTAAATAATTTTTTTATTAAAAATAAACAATGGGTTGGGTTAGTGTTAGATTTTTGGTCAATCCAACCCGAAAATATATATATACTTCATCCGATTCCGACCAAATAAAAAAGAATTTAATTAAATAATAATTTTTAAAAATATTACATTATTATCTTAAGGTTGGGTCGGGTCGGGTCAGATTTTCTCACCCTCTACCTGAATTCGACCCACCCAACATTTCTACTTAAGAAATCTAAACCGACCCGAACCCAATTTAAAAAAATCGACGTATCAGATTGGGTCGAAACACATTAGATTCGGGTTAAATTGTCATCTCTAGTTACACTTTTAGGTGCATGCCATCAAAAAAGAATTGTTATGTGACACGTCTCTTTTCAAAAAAATATAAATGGCATGTATCACTTAATAGTTCTTATCTAAAAGTATAACCGAGGTAACATTAAGCACTTATTTTTAATAAAAAATATTTAAACACCAAAAATCAATTTTAAGTATAGTTTAAGTACTATTCTTATATTAAGCCTTTCACTTCTTATTACCATCAATTTTGTAGAAATCAGATCGAAAGTTAAATCGATCATACCTTTTTATTTTTATGCGTAAAGTATGTAAATTGTATGATTATGTAGTTTGTTTTTTAGTCCTCTAACTATTAAAAGTTACAAAATGATCACTTAACTATTCATATATTCTAAGCTCGTCTTTTTCTGTTAAAAATTAACGATCATCTGAACTGGATATTAACCCGCTGATTGGGAAATGATAAAACCATATTTTAATGATGTATGTTGGCACTGTTATTGCTTTAGCTCGGCAACATATTAATGTTCAGCAACATATTATTTAAAACATTGGCTCAACAATATAATGTAAACAGTGAATCGATCCACAAAGTACAACTCAAACGATTCTTTGATAAGATTTTATCATATCTCAGTCACACAGGTTAACGTCCAAGTCAGATAGCCACCGGTTTTTTAAACGAACAAGGATGAGTTTGGAACATATGAATAGTTAGTAACCATTTTATAACATTTAATAGTAAAAGGAGTCAACAAAGTATTGCCCTATAGTCAAGAGACCTCTTTATGATTTATAATAGTTGTAGACTTAACAAAGTAGCATTTTATAATAGAAAAACTCAACAAAGTAACATTTTATGGTCGGTAACCATTTGTGCACTTTATCTCATTTTTATTTTAATTTACACAACTAAACTTAAATCTAACTGTAATCGTAAAAAATTAAAATTAAAATTTGTTATTAAAAATAAGAATTGAAGTTAAATTGATATTATATAGTGTTAAAGGAGTATGTGATTCAAATTTGTTCAAAATATACTTAAAATGATCGAAGAATTAGGGTGAGTATTCAAATTAAAAATTTTCGAGTTGACAAGTCATATTTTATCAAACTTTATTTGAAATTTTTTAAGTCAATTCGAATATATGAAATTCGAGTTATTTTTTGAATCAAATCTAGTTTTACTCTTGTCTAATTAAAAATTTAACGTATGTTATATATTTCATGAAAAAAAGGGTTTATTTGTTACCATCAATCAATAGAATAATTATTCTATAACGTTTTAAAATTCGATAAATCATTTCTAATGTTATTAATAATTGAGAGATTTATGGTGTCATTTAACCAATTTATATTTGATTTAGCCTCTTTCGTATTGAGGCTCCGTTGAGGTGTTCAAAGATTCGATTTTTTGCTTACCAGCGTAGTTTTTTCCGATCGAACGTCGTCGCATTAGAGATCCCCTACGACGGAACCAGCGGAGGTTGTGGCGGTTTGGGATGATTACCAGTGGGGTGGTGATAGGAATTTAAATAAGATCTGATATCGGAATAACGATCGTTATACAGTGATAAAGGTGTTGTTCGATATTATTAGCGTACAACCGTGATACCGACAATGACTACAATAACACTCACTAATGTTCTTCACTTATAGATAGACTTTATATAGAATAGAGTCTGTTTGACTAAATATCGGTTTTTGTAAGATACTCTAATTCTATTGTAGCGATTTGCTGCGTACTAAACAATGGGTGTGAGATTAAAGCTCTCTTTTAGTCTTGCTTATGCCAGTATATATGTCCTTGACACTGGAAGATAGGGTGATTGGTGTCGATACTAGGGTTGGTGGCTATTGATGGATTGGTAGGTGGATAGATATAGTTACCAGATAATATATATAACTGATAACAAAATTGACAACGATCATATTAAGAAGTTGAGTGAATAACGGAAAAAAAATTAGCTGACCCTATTCTTATATATAATGGGGTAAGGGGGAGGTAGGGTAGTAGGCTGCCCTCAATGCTAGGTTGAGAGCAACTTCCGTAGAAGATCTCCGGCAATTATGAATTACCCACCGTGGGACTCGATCCCACAACCACAAGGTTAAACATAAGTGAATAACGAGATTATCTTAATTTGTTTAGTTCGGCTTGTCCAATGACAAGTACGGTAACATGTGATCCATCGTAAGGTCTCAAAATTTAGGGACTTCAAACATAAATTTCAATTAGGTTTGTCTATATATAACATTTGTACCCTAAAGACATTTTCGTTCAAAGGAAAAATAAACTTTTTGTTTAGTTCTAAGGAAAATAGTAGAAAAAGTCATCAACGAAGATTTTAACAGTATCTTCGTCGTTTTTCGTAATGAATTTTAATAAATAAAAAAACCTCGTAGATTCATCATAATTTTAAATTTAACAAATTAATCTTTATTAGTATAAAATATTTTAGGAGACTCGTTTTAAAAAGTAGCACAAAATCTCTGCATCATTTGGGATGGGGGCATGTATTTAATCATGACATTTATACGAAGAACAAGCTGATAAGCAGATGACATGAGCACCCCAAAGAAAAGATGAAAATGAAAGAAGTTACTAGCAAAGTTCAGCACATGCAACCTGTTCCCAAAACTTGGAAATAACCCTGTAGCAGTAGCAATTTGTTTTTAATCAATACAAGATGCTAAGCTTCAAGACATGGCTGAATATTTGCAACCAAAACTTGCATCCAAGAAGATCAACCCATTATGAGCAGCATTTGCAATTTCTATATTTAAGTTATGTTATATCTTCTCTAATCTCTTTCGTAAATCGTCTTCGTGATCAGTCTTTTGCCTAAATAAACCTCTGGGAGAATTCCTTCGTTGATCAAATCTTCCGAAGACACATATTATTTACTTGGTCATAATCCTTTGATATGACTTACAACAGATCCACGTGATGTGTCATAACCAAATCCATTGTCAAACGGCTATATCTATTCAACCTATTGACTTATGAGTAATCATCATAATCCTAGGTTTGACACCAACTCTAAGAGGGTGTTTGGTTCAAGGATTGTGAGATTCTCATGGGATGGGAATCCCACATTCCCATGTTTGGTTGGCCGGGAATCTCATTCCCGGTAATGTTTTATTACCAATAGTAGATTTTTTTGGGTATATTACCGGGAATGTCATTACCTCCCTTCCCTTAGGTATTGTAACATTACCGGCGTTTTGGACTAAAATGCCCTTAAATTTTTATTTTTTTCTAAAAATATCCTTCTTCTGTCATTGAATAATAAAAATTCTACGAATGTTAAATTACAAATTATCCTTAAATTATTTTAAATTTACAAAAAAAGTCTATAATTAAAATTTTATATGAAGTTCAGGGGTTAAAAAAAGTTACCCTTTCATTAAACCTTTTTTATATTTTTAATTTTGTAAAAAAAATTATATAAATATTATGAATTTAATTTTTTAAAGAAAATATATAAATATTTTACAATTTGTAATATTATACAAATATATAATAAGGACAATTTGGTCAAATATACATTCCAATAATCTTTTATTCCTTTAACCAAACACGGTAATCTTACATTCCTGCTAAACCAACCAAACACAAAATACAACATTCGCAGTAATCTTATTCTCTGGTAATCTTTTATTCCCACTGGTAATCTTACATTCCGTGAACCAAAAGCACCAGGGTCTTTATATAAACCCCATGCAAGACAAAATGAGTATTCTTAAATGTAATTCATTTCATAATGACATTTAATTCCATTCTAAATAATTTTAATTTGTGCATTAGAAATGATGTTTTTGCTCTCACTATTTAGCTTATAAGTAGTGGGCAATTTCACTCTCTTGAGAGATCATCCTTAAGCAAATGTTTGCTTTAGAAACACTCTCTTTGAGTTTCAAAAACATATTATGAGTGTTGTTTTATTGAGTTAAGAGTAGTACCACCAAAGTCCACTTCATCTTTCGGGCGTACGAATTTTGGAGAGTCGTGCTAACCTCGAGAGGCCATTCGTTCATTGTAGCGATTACATACATCATGACGAATTCGCTTCTAAGACAGTGGTTAATATCACGACACGCTTATGTTCCTATTTGATTATTTTATTTAATATTTTCCGATTAGTGCTAATGTCTTATTTTACAACAGTATATTTTCCAACATTCTTTCTCTGGATATCTCTTCCTGAACCAAACAACACTTATTGTCCTTAACTCACCTCTCTTCTTAAAATCATCGACTGTTATTCTCTACCTAAATCAGAAGAGGTAATAAATAACAAATTTAGAGCCTAAGATGTAATAGTTTGATATTAAACAGACCTCTCATTCTCTTAAAAAAAAGCATCATATATTAAAGTAGAATCTGCTCCAGCCACACTTGGGTATAGCATGGGTTATTATTTGAGTTTTTTTTTAAACAGCGGCCCGTTACTAGAATAGTGGTCTTATATAACGATAACGGTATCATCTGAAACTGTTATTGCACGATCGCGGTATTCGTAATTAGTACAACAACATCTATTATGTCTGCAATCGCGATAAAAACAACAAAAAACGTGGCCACAACCGTGATTGAAATCCTTGAACTGGAGAATCTCTATCACAGAAGCTGCAATCAAAGTTTGTGTTAATTTGTGGGAATTATTCAGTAAAATGATGCATTCACATTATTTCTACTTCGAGGGTTTCCTAGATCTTCGTTTATCGACTTTTTGAAACTAAGTGGAGAAATGAACGAATTTATGTAGATGTTTTTATTTTGATGGAAGACGTGGTGGGTTGTTAAGAGATTCGGGAGAAAATTGGATCGTGGGATTTGTCGAAGCCATCGGAGCTTCCTCCCCACTAGATGCGAAACAAGGAGCCATTTTTGAAGGACTCTCGACTATATGGAGACTTGAATTTCTATAAGGTTATTGTGGAAACGGATTGTAGGACTGCATTATCTATACTTGAATATTCTCCGGGTTCGAGCGGATTTTCGTCAGTGACAACACACATCCTTAAGTTTACTAGATGCAGTAGGCATTTAATTTTTAGCTATGCACCGCGTGAATTTAACGGGGTGGCGGATGGTTTGGCTGCACTGGCTCGGTCGCGTTTCTCGAGCAACCGTCTGTTTCATGAACCACCGGTAGAAGTTACTGAAGCTTAAGTTAGAAATAAAAACTAAATTTACCCTTCCATTTGGTAGGTATAATAGGTTTATATATTGACAGAGATACTTTAACCATTCTCCTAGTAGATAAATTACCACCTTTTACCTAATGTGGAGTATATTTTCACTTAATTCGAGATTAAGTAGTACTACTACTTTTTATTTTAATTTTATTTCCAGTACATGCATTGCGATGCAAGCTTTTTTTTCTTACTTCGGAACAGGAAACATAGCTAGATCGTGTGCCGCCATGAAGTGGCACACTTCGGTGTCCCCGGCCTTGACTCCGAGAAGACGGAAAGCGACATGGCCGGGCCGCCATGTCGATGTATCCATGTGACACAGAAACGCCGAGTCGATCATCTCACCGTTCTCACCTCTCAAGTGAACCTTGAACACTTTGCTCTCTGCTCCCAGTTGGAAGTGGCAGTAGTACACTGGATACGGATACGGCTCGCTGTGGCACGGCACGATATCCCCGGTCGACATCTCCGCGAACTCGAGTATGGTGTAGTTTTGGACTAGTGGAGTCGATGGGTTCGAAAGCAGAGACGATCTTAGAATTTCGACTTTCGAGTCTGATCCCAAGATGCCTCGTGCAAAATCAGCTAGTGATTCTACATTGGTCGCACACCCTCGGACCTCTCCTTCTTTCGGTTCCTTCTCGCAAACCTCGAGTGTTTGCCTCATCCCCAAGGCTTGCTTTGAGTCCGGTGAGAAGGAGAAGAACCGGAGAAGCTCCGGGATCGCCTCCGACGAGAAGGGGATGTGTTGTGTTGTTTCTTTAGGGAAGAACTGAAACGAAGTTGGATCCTTTATGTAGGGGAAGTAGATTGGCATTGTTTTCCCAACAACAAGATCTTTGATGAGGGCGAACACTTGGACTGCAGGATCATTCGGATCATCCATGCTCACGGCCCAGCCGCCGCCGGATGATGAACCGCGTCCGTTTTTTTCTCCACCGCTATGGTTATCGTCGGAATCCATGCTGTGAAGTCGTAGAACATCGGCCCCATTCGAAGTTACACGGGGAGCAAGCTGTCAAAAAGTTGAATCATGGTAACAAAAAATAAAATTTGTAAAAAAATATTTAAATTATACGATAATTTAAAAGTTTTGACCCAAAATACTCTATCTTACCGAGACAAAAAGTAGGAGGAGGAAGCTGCAAGAAACAAATTCATTGCCCATTCTTTCTTCAACATTGAACGCATTTCACCTTTGTTTTCCGCTTATAAGGATGAACGGAGCTGTTTTGGATGGACCTAATAATAATAACAAAAAAGCTTAATGTTAAAATTAGCTCCACTATGGTTATTTTAATTTTTTTCAATATTTTAAGGGTAAAGTATAGTAATGGTCACTGAACTTTTCTAAAGCTTTCATTTAGGTCCCCTAACTTTTAAAACTTACAATACAATCCCCCAACATTTAGTCTGTTTGCAATATAGTCCCCGGTCGGTTGACGTTGTTACACTGCCGTTAGTACGTTTGCAATATGGTCACTAAACTTTTCAGACGGTTGCATTTAGGTTCTCCAACTTTTAAAACTTGCAACACAGTCTTAAATTTCATTATAAACCCTAAATTCCTTTTCGATCTCAAATTTCCTTTTTCGCTTCTTTCTTCTCATTTCCACCGTAACTTTTCAGTAGGGGATGCATGAGAAATTCTAATCTAACTTTGAATTATGTGGAGGTGTTGATTTGAATAAGGGTTCATTGAGAGAAGATTCGAACAAAGGACTATCGGAACCATCAACAATTCAAGGTGTAATGTTAGATACATGTCATCTCAGGTGAAGCATAGATGTTCGATGAAATGCTTGTGAGAAAAAAATTGGGTTAAAAATGCAGAGTTGACAAATACCACTAAGATGAACTAAATATCATTGCTGAAAGTCACCAACAAAGCTAAAATTATTTTGTATAAATGACATAATAATTTCTTCGTTTAATCCTTGTGCTTAAATATTTTCCAACAGATGATCAAATATTATCAAATCTCAAACAGCGCATCCACCTCTCGTTTGATTTTTGTTTTTCAATTTTCCGCCTTGTAAAATTATAAACCCAAGCAGTGCTCTGTCTTTCAGCTTTTATTTACAAAGAAAAAATGGATGAAAAATTTATGGAACGCAACACCGATTGCGTTTATTTCTTAGTCTTTCCTTTACTTGCAAGAATGTATTTATTTTTTCTTTTGCACTATCCGGAAGTAAGCTTTTCCTCTTTCGCACTTTCTCATTTTAAGCTCACATTGTGTGTTTTTTGTTGAAATTTTTATGTTTATAGAACTGCATGTCAATGATCTGGATATACAGTGTTAGTTTTGAACCAAAACTATCTAATTTTCTTTCTTTCTTCTTAATCAAAACTTTTAGTACTCCTTAAAAAAGATATTCAGTCCATCAGAATAGAAGTGAAATATGATCCTAGGCTAAATTTTTTTTATATTCTTGTTTGGTTTTTCTTTAAATAGGGAATTGGTTGTGGGTAGCGACATAGTGAAATCGCCAGGCTCAATCCGAAAGACTGCTTGTACTAGTTTATTGGGAATTGTATTGATTTGACCTGTGGTTTTTGGCGTCCTGTGAGCTCGTATTCTTTTTAATAAGTTCATGTTGATTATGAGACTGATATATCGTGAACGAATTAATTTTTTTACATGTTTTGGAAATTTTACAGTTGAATTGTATTGAATTATAGCTTTAGAATAAATTATGCATGCACGCAACTCGAAAGTCATCATGACATGATAGTATATTTGGAGCAGCTACTTGACCCTGTCATGATGCCTTTCGAGTTGCGAAAGAGACTGAGAGGTGAATGCGTTGTTTGGGATTACATTATATTTGATCATCTGTTGGAAAATCTTTAAGCACAATGATTAAACGAAGAAATTATTATATGCCATTTATACAAAATAATTCCAACTCTGTTGGTGACTTTCAACAATGATATTTAGTTCATCTTAGTAGTATTTGTCAACTCTGCATTTCTAACCCCATTTTTTCTCACAAGCATTTCATCGAACATCTATGCTTCACCTGAGATTACATGTATCTAACATGAGATGACCTGTATCTAACATTACACCTTGAATCGTTGATGGTCCCAATAGTCCTTTAGTCGGGTCTTCTCTCAATGAACCCTTATTCAAGTCAACACCTCCACTTAATTCAAAGTTAGATTATAATTTCTCATGCATCCCCAACTGAAAAGTTACGCTGGAAATGAAAAGAGAGAAACGAAAAAGGAAATTCGAGATCGAAAAGAAATTTAGGGTTTATAATAAAATTTAAGACTGTGTTGCAAGTTTTAAAAGTTGGGGGACCTAAATGCAAGCACTTGAAAAGTTCAGTGACCATATTGCAAATGTACTAACGACAGTGTAACGGCGTCAAACAGTTGGGGACCATATTGCAAACGGACTAAATGTTGGGGGATTGTATTGTAAGTTTTAAAAGTTAGAGGACCTAAATAAAAGCTTTAGAAAAATTCAGTGACCATTACTACACTTTACCCATATTTTAATTCTAAATATTTATATTTTTAATCGAAATAACCTCTATCTATAGAAAGAAAATTATTAGTTAATTAATGATCAAAAATTTCAACATGTGTTGAATTATTAACAAGTCATATGTTATGTCATTCAAGATGATTACATGGAATGTGCCAAAGATAATTGTTATCTTATGAAATATTCAAAGCCCCAATATCAAAAATTGTTTTTGATTATTGTACCGATTCAAATCTGATCAAAAAGATCAAGAAGTTTTTGTCATTATTCTTTTAAATTTCACGTGGTTTATGTATAAGTTTTTTAAAGTGTTTAAATAGAGTTTTATAAATATATACTCGTTAATTAATCAAAGAATTATGAAATCAAACCAGAATATAATCATGTCAAATCATCAACAATAAAATACTAGATGCGGAAGTATACCTAAATTAATTGATAGGTTAAAATGAGTGAATCTTTTTTTGTTGTGATCTTTCAAGAAGATAAAGTTCCCTTGAGTACAAAATCTTTGACGGGGATAAAAGTAAATACGAGATTGTATATTTCTTGGGGACCATAAATCCTTTATATAGTTGATTTAAGAATTAGTTATTGTTTGTAGTTATAAATCTACCCCTCATTTAATTATAAATACAACTTTAATAGTATCTAAAATTTTATTTTCATGACACTTCCAATACTTTACGACTTTATAACATAATTGATCACTTAACTGGCATATTTTATGATAACAATAAACATTAAAAATATGTGTCCATAATTATGGATTTTAATCCAAAAATTTATCATCGCCTTTGTACTTTTCTTGCAAATACATGAATTTATTTCATTTAATCTTAGCTAATTCGGACCGACCCAGGTCGTACACCTGATTTTGGTTGGTGAGTTTCTCTGCGGGGATTTTCTGCATACAAAAAAATCCGAACTCAAAACTTCCTTAAACAATATCAAATTGTTTACCACTTAAACCAACTTTGTTGAATTTAGAAGTATTTTTACTAAAATAGTAAAAGAATATTGTTAAGAGGTTATTCTAATTAAAAAAAAAAGCGATTCAAATATTAGAATGATCCGAATATTATTTCCATAAATTAGTTTATGTATTTTCAAAGGATTTTATCAACCCACGTAATTAAAAATTATCATGTATTTTCGCCTATATTATTTTTAGTAAACTTTAAATGTCAAATAAAATTCATGAATTGTATTTTATCTATAATAATACGGGGTAAAGTACACAAATGGTCCCCTACTATAATACACTATTTTGTTGAGTTCCTTAACTATTAAAAGTTACAAAATGGTCACTCGACTATTCATATGCTCTAAACTTGTCATTTTTCGTTAAAGATTTGACGACAATCTGAGTTGTACGTTAACCTATTGATTGAGATATAATAAAATATGATTCTAGAATCTCAAAAGGCTATCATATTGGAGTCAGCATGTTAATATCCAACTTAGACGACCATCAATTTTTTAACGAAACATGATGAGTTTGGAATATATGATAGTTGGGTGATCATTTTATAATTTTTAATAATTGATGGACTCAACAAAATAACCCCTATAATCATGGACTATTTTATAACTTTTAATAGTTTTGGACTCAACAATGTAATACTCTATAATTAGGAGACGGTTTGTATAATTTACCCAATAATATTTGAACTTTTATGGGTTGAGAAACTTTATTATAATTTCCTATCCAAGTTTAGATTATCTTGTAGATTGCAGAAAATGTGATAAAAATACATTATTTTAGGTTGAGACGTAACTTAAAATATTAATTTTTTTAATATGATATGAAATAAAGACATATAATTAAGTATATTCTTATCCTACATGAAATAAACGGTTAATATTGACGTATTCTTATAATTTTATTGATGAAATAAAAAGTTGTATATTACGAAATATATCTTTTAAGAGTTTACAAGACGAATATAGGGTTAAAGTGCTTGATATATTAAATCAATCGATAAATATAATATTTTTTATATTTTATAGTTTTTAAAATTTAATTTCTAATTTCGTTAATTTAATTGAATATAGAGTTTGATTTAAGGGTTAAAGTGTTTGCATTGTCTCTAGTGGTCCGGGCGAGCCTTACTTCGCTATATGTCATAGCTTCAATTCTTCTTGGAAGTAGGTTATATTTTCAAGTTTTCTCTTATCGAATAAGGTGGTGACGTATTTCACTATCTGATTGGATATAAATAAATTAAAAATTAAAAATAATAAAATATCATTTAATCTTATAGTGACATGTGTCACCATCTAATTGAAGATTAAATTTATTTAATTGAATTAAAATTATGACCAAATTGATAGAATGTATGAACATTGAGGATTAAATATGTAAGTATACTAATTTTATTAACTGAAACATCAACAATTCAGTTAAATATTAACGGCAAGCGGTCCGATTAAATACATTTAAAATGTTGGGTGACATGATTGATAAAAATTCAAAAATAATGGTTGAAATGAAAACGAATTATAGTTAGATGGTCCCTAGTATAGTTTACCCATATATTTATGATGTGCAATGTAATTAATTATTGTTTGACAGTGAAGGGTAAAGCACAGCAATCGAAACATTAATTTCTGTTGTCTCCTCTTGACCACCGATTTCCAACAAATACCAAATTTGATGTAATCGATGAAGTACAGTTTAATGCTTTCCCTTGTCAGCATGTGAAGTAAATTACCAAATTTG